GAGTTGAGACGACCCGGTGTGTTCTGACGCACGGTCCCTGTCGTAGTCGTGACGTGACTGATCCCGCTGCCTCCGCTCCGAGCCGTGTGATGCCTGTGAGCTATTGTTGTGTCGCCGCTCGGCTCACATGCTGATAGGCGATCATCGTTACCCCTTCATTCATTATGCAGCAGTCGTCACCCAGAGACTTGTGCACAAGCCGCATGTGTGTTTGTACAGGGCCGGACAATACCACGCAGCGTGGGCTGGCCCATTCTAGAAAGTTCGGGGTGGGTTCTGAGTAAACCAAAATGCCCAGAGGATACTATAGCCGATACAAAGAAAATATGGCAATGCTAAGTGATCGATATGAAAATAAAAATGTATAAGGACTAATATCTAACAAATGCAATGGCTTGGTCTCGTTTTTAATTTTTGACAGTTCCTATAAAATTGTATAGTGCTACCATGGAGGTCTGCATGGTGCTACCTGGTGTACAGTTGGGACAAGTCATTATTTTTCGACTTGGGACATTCCAAACACATTAGACTTTGATGAGTAGCTCCCATGAGGTGTGGTTGAATTCCCTTTACATGTTAGTTTATACCATATCCTTGTACATAAACATTAAACAGTAATCGTATGAGACCACTGTCGTTTTCAGGGCAGAAGCCATCGGCTAAGCTCTCAAAGACATTAACATAATCTCATTAAAGCTGAGATTAAAATCCACTTAAAATACCGCTCTGAACACGGACCTACCATGTATAATATTGGATCGGTAAATCTTCTAAATCTGAGATCTTCAAGATGTCTGTTTGTTGTGAACTATCCCACAATGATAGTGAGCTCGTGGTTGGTCTTTATGGTAAAAGATGATTTTAACACAAATTTCTTCTTGCCATACCTTTTCCATTAAAATTCAATTTTGATGCTATGATGTGACATATTATCAATGTCTACTCAGCATGCCAAGCTAAAAAAAGAAACAAGTTAGTGTTGTTTTCCACACAATTGTCCCCAGTCTGTTCTTACATATACAAACTTGGAAAGTAATGAACATATAAAAATGACCGACATAAAGGAATTAGAACGGTGCCGATACTTTTTCGTAAGATGTTCTACATGCTAGTCGTGGCTTATTTTGATTTAATATACTATAAAGTTCCCATAAAGTGTCTCTTGCACGCGTATGGGAAGGATTTAGGTAGAAGAAAGTACTGATATTTGCAATATCGTTCATGACCTGAAAAACAACAGTAGATGGATCTAGAGCTAAGGTAGTGTAAACCCTTGAATGCCAGTAGGCAATGTGATTTTATTGTTTCTGAACTACTCTCCATAGAGTCGTGACAAAATAAAATCCTTTGGTACGTTCAGAGGGTGACGTAGTGTGACAAACTGCTGTACCACGGCCCGGGTGTGCAGGTAGATCTGAGTTTCGCCGTTACCACGAACCTTTAGACCTTCCTCGTCGTAGTGTATCAAATCCGACCTTTGCACAACACGTCGGCTTAAGTAACCACTCAGGTACTTACAGGCACGTATTTTGGACTCGGACCACAGGCATGCGCGGGTAAGATTGTCATAATAAAGACACTTAAAGAAATTCTCATACTCCTTTGCTGGATGATGGGTAATCGCTACCCTACATTTGTTTCTTACTTAAGCCATGGACCAGTCAATATACCATAGACATACTAATGGTGCACCGCATCTGAGAGATATTTATTTGATGTACATATAGATAGGTTATTAAACCTATTATATATAAATCACGGTTGTCACACCTGCCTACCCCCAACCCCTTCTTTCCTGAATCTTTTGTTTTACGTCGTTTTATGTTCTACAAACGCATGGCAGTCCAGACGTTCACAAAGGAAACAGTACTGGTAGCTTTCTATTGGCCTGATATGTTGCAATTTTGACATGAGCAAGTGCGTGCGTATGTGCGTGCGCGTGCGTGTGTGTGTGTTCGCGTACACGTGTGCGTGTGAGCGCACGTGTGTGTTAATGTGTGTGTGTGTTGATGTGTGTGTTCAATCCACATTACTTTGAAGGGGAACGCAGGGCAGGGAAAGGAAGGGGAGCAACAGGTGGTCACGTGACGAGACACAGGTGCATTATTGGTAGGTAGCATCTGTGACAGGCCGTCAGCACAATGGAGCAAACCAGGCGGGGAGACGGTCGCCAGCTGGTCCGCCGGAGGGACGGGCGTCTCCGGGGGGAGATAATGAGAACGCCACACATCCGTGATGTCAGTCTGACGTTTGGCCCAGTTTAAAACAGTGTTACAAAACTTTCGGGTAGGTCGACGGCTAGTTTTAGGCTCATTTTATTTCAGTTTTTTATATGAAAATCGCGCGACGTATATATAGGGAGTGATGAAATGAAGTACATTTGTATCAAGATCAATATAGATCAGATCCCAAAGTAATGATGCCCTGTGACGCAGAATACCGAAAAAAGTTTTATCTTGTCTGAGGGCATTTAAATTTCAGTCATCACAAACTGGTTCTATTGAAACTTCCACATGAATGTATCATAGCAACACCAGACTCGAACACATTTTTACTGGAATTTAAGGGTGAATAGAAAGCTTCAGTATGTTTCGTTTCAATAAATTTCACGACAACGTTAACGCTCCCCTCGGTGTGACCACAGCTGGCTGGCTGGCGCCCGTGTCCACAGGGACAGCTAATGGCCCGTTAAATTTCCTCCCGGACAGGCTACTGTCACTGGCAGTTAAACAATACACCCCGCCGGTCCCGTGGAATTGGCTTCCGTTGTGCGAAACCTTGTTATTACGATAATCTGACATCGTAGTCAGAATTTATCATGCCAGACCATGATAGTCGCAAGTTCGCTTTATACAAATTAGTCACTTTGCGGGAGCGGGCAAGATTAGGAGTACTTAGGGGTAAAAGCTAGTCTTTTCCATTAAAGACTTTGAATGGGGTTTAGGGTAAAATTACACATTACAGAAATTATTGTGGTCTACAATATAAGTATGCCCCCCTGTGTTTATATGGTTAAAAATACAATAACTAATTTCTCCTACACTACTATATTAACTGGTCACTGTGAAGTACTTTTCATGGTCTTGTAGGACCGACGAAATGCCTACCTTACCTACTGTGAACTAACCCATGCTGATGACGGACGTTGAAGACTGAAGTACGTTGTAGTTGGCTAAATAAAAATAAAGAACAGAGAGAATTTTCAACTGAACAATTCATCTTTATTTCATCCTTGTATAACAACAGACATGTCAGTATCAAACGATGCATAATATACCCACTTTTTCTTTTATTTACAGTTGATAGAGAGCAAATTCCACATTCGAGAGAAAATGTTGAATAGATAGAAATCCTTTATGTTTATTACAACGATTCAAATACTATCACAATGCGGGTACTGCGAGCCATGCTCTCCCATTGTGATTTTTACAGTTTCCCATGTACATGTAGAATAGCGTAGCTTTTAGAACTGTTGATCAGTCTTGGCAGCTTCAAATTTGTACAATGTATTTCGGTTCCCAACAGCTTGTCGTACACGGTACCAGATTGCTGTGTACGCTGAGCAACAGAGAACACAACCCGCTACCTGTATACAGCACATGTACAATGTTATAACTCATCTTTTGTCGGACTGGAACACACTGTGTGACGATATCGTCATTTATCTGCAAGAACCAAGACTGAATATCAGCTTGTCTTATGCAACATTAGGTTTAAGTCTGAATACCATTTCATTGTAGATGCAACATTCGGATTTAGAACATGACCCATCGTGGCCAACTGACTAGTGTTTTGGCAAAGAACGTACCCGCAAAGTACGGATGAAGATGTGCACGCACTTGATTTGTTTTGTAAGAAAAAGAGCCCAACTTGGTTTTCTTTCTAGATATGTTCGTCCACACAGTGTTTATATTCTGTGATGTTTATGAGGATGTATTTTTGTCAACAAACCTCTCGGTGCACCGACCCCCTTTGCGATTTTTCCTGGAACGGTCTGTCAGGTCCTTTGGACTCTTGACGAGTTACGAGTGAATTGGCGACGATTTAAAAGTTGAAACCCTGCCCACTCAGTCTTGTTTGGCACGTGCACTTCAAATTGTACCAAGGACGTGGTGAAGCTCCTTGATTGTACTCAACTAAGCGCCCAGAAGAAGGCGACTTTTCGTGATTGTCTTTTCATATTGGGAATGTGTGCACAGGTAATTTTGGTCTGTAGAATACTCAATGTTATGTTCCTCATCATTTTGCTGAAAAAGGTTACAAACCTTTCATGTTTCACCCAACTTCTGAACTGCATTAAACAACGTGAAAATTGATATGTTCAGGTTTGTCCAAAATTCTGCCATCCGTGTCTAAATAGACTAGTATATACACAGAATTGCACTGTTCTGTATTTTGCCTTATTAATGTACGACATAGCCGGTAAGACATATAGGAAAATGTGTGATTTTCCGAAAATAATTCTCTAACAAGAAGATATGTTGATTACATGCGAAATGGAATGAAACTAGTCTCTGTCGAATTGCACAATGTATAAAAAGCAGGTATATCTCTTTTCTTCGCATCACAAGTATTACCTACCAGGTTTGAAATAATAATAATAGGGAATGTTACCATCGCAATGTACAAAAGATGGATATCGTATGCCACAAAGATAAATTGCTCTTATTTTACAGAGTTTCAGTACAGTCATAGATATCTGGCATACTGTAGCTTTACAGTTTTACATTGTTTTGAAAGCAGCGAAGACCGTTTTGGCGGTACGTGAAGTCACTAAACAAAATGGCGCCGATGATGCTGACATTGATGTCCCAAAGGTTTGGGAGGTATTTTGTCCCAATGTCAGACCCGAACATACCGTCCAACATCCTCTTACAGTAGTCCCAGGGCACGGCACATCCCTGGTGTTGTGAAAGGTGCGCAGGAATGTTTATCCGTTCAGGTTATCGTTGAAAAGTCTGTCGTTTGCCTGTACTGTCTACATTTCGAGGCAATGTTCCTGTCACATGCGTGCACAACATGAGTCTATCATCCTCATAACGGTGTGGTAGGAGAGGGTACCACCTTGCGTTCGGTAGACAAGAAACGGTTCTCCAGCAGCCTTTATTTAATGTCTATATATTCTGGATTCGTATTTGCCCACCGTTATGAGGTAAATTTCACATCACAAATTTGAACCATCGTCACTCCCATAGCAAGACAGGGTCCCGTCTGTTCGATGGTTGTCGTTTGTTTGCAGTTGTGGCTCGTACGTCGAGTTTTTGGTCCGAGCGATGATATGGTCACTTCGAGCATGGACTTCTCGTCCTCACCAGCTTCGGGTGCGCTCGTACCGAACAACTTTGGTCGCCGTAAGTTCTCTGCGTCTTACATTCATATCTTGTTATCGACTGTGTTGTTGTGGGGAGTCCCGCCGTTTCGACGACGTCGTCGGACCCAACGTCGGTTCGAATTCCCTCGTGCATAGCAACTGTGTTTGAAGAAGTACCCATTTGTCCAGAGGGTGTTTCGCCGCTAAACTGCGGGCCGCGCTCACACACGGTCCCCACGGCCTGCGCCTGCGCCCTGCGCTCCGCCCTCCCGCTCCCTCCGCTACTCCCGCTCGCGCCTGCGTCGTCCTCGTCCTCGTCGTTCCAGTGGCCCTTGTGGGAACAAACTTCGACGTAAACTTCAGACGCGTCCTTTTTCTTCTTCTTTTTCTTCTTGTCCCGCCCTTCCGAGTCTATGGTACAAGCCTGTTGATTGGCTGTCACCTCCTCTACGTCAGCCGTACTGGGTACCGTCGCCCGCCTGGGCGACACTCTGTTCTGTAAGGTGAACAGGACGGGCGGCCCGGGCAAAATGGGCGGGAAAATACTGTGTCCTCGCGCAGACGATTCTGAAACACAACAGGGGACAAAACGTCAGTTCCAAAACGCATTGCTCCGTAGAGTGTAATACTACACATCTTCTGTATGATCTCTGGAAAACGTCAGTTTGGCAGATTCTCAGCTACCTCCACGGAAAGTGATATAGCCCCCACCCCCACACCCTGCCGTCTCTGCTCAAGATAGCTTAACTGATGCCGAAACGTTGTTAAGGATCAAAGCTGTGTCATAATGACAATGACCTCATAATAACCTTATTTCGAACAAACACAGCTGACATACCTTCGCCGTGCTCCTGTATCTTCCTTGAGTCTCCAGGTCTCTTCTGCAGCTTCTTACTCTTCTTCCTGCCCTTCTTTGGCTTTCCTGTTGTACAAGGTAGAACCATGTTATATTTTAATCATCCAAGAAAGGTCCACCTGTTACGAGTAAGCCAGACCCTGTGTTCTATACTGGTCTGAAGTTTAGTGGTGTAAGTGACTCGGAAAAGGTAAAGATCATCAGCAAATTCTAGACAAAATTTCAGCATTAATGTACGTGTGTCAAAAAGATAGTATACGTAGCATTGCTGCTACGATCAGCATTCTAAGACTAAACATGTTGCCCACAGTGTCCAATGCTGATGCCCCCGGGTATGAAATGATGTAGTATATGCATGCACATTTTCCAGGACCAGTTCGACTAAAGACTCTCAGCCCGTACCTGACGACAGTGCAGTTTCTGTCCAGTCTATCCCCGGCTCGTGTGAAATGGACCTCGGCAGCCCCGTGTGTCTCTCGAACTCACTGCGGATGAAGGACGTTGAAAAGTGACATTAGATAAAAGTGTACACAAGGACAACGACGGAATAATCGTGGTTGCTCTAATGCTGCCAATCTAAGAACGTGGATACTGATTCAAGTGGCAGATCTGTGACGTGGTGATGTAACTATATAGGACACACATACATCAACCTTTGTGCCATATGACGGCAGAGACCTAAGACTTTCTGTATCATACATGTATCTACAAAGAAAGGGCCTCGTGGACAGGCAAAATTACGTTGATTACAACACGATAACCGCCATATCTCTGTCCGTTGTATGTTGATATGTCCTATAATATAGTTGCTATAATAGAGACCACCAGGTGTCATAGAAATGTCATAAAGTGCATTGCAGAATGTTGCTTTGCAGAGTGTAAGTAAGTAGTGATTTCTAGTTACCCCTGAGTCTTGAGTGACTGTGATCGGGGTTTGTTGACCACCTGGACGGGGTTGAGGAGATGCTCCCAGGACTGAGTCAGCTTCCTCATCTCCGAGCGCGGCACGGGCTGCTGGGTCTTGGCAGGAGGGGGCAGGGCACTGCTCACAGCAGCTGCAACATGCGGAGGCAAGTGTTAAAAATTAAACGTTACTGCGTGCGATTATCTACAACAAACGGCGTTACAGTTATCAATTTTGGTTGCTTTCGTACTGGTAACTGAACATGCAACGATTTGTAACTTGAAAAGTATAATATATCTTAACGGGGACCTCGAATCGTCTCACGCCTTTTGTTATCATCCACGGCCTTACGTGTCTTAATTCTGCACTGAGCATTCTATTCATTTCTGTTAAACTGGTCTAAAAAGATTCAGCTATAAATTAGAGAAACTGGTCTAAAAAGATACAGAAATACATTAGAGAAAACAGCCTTTACATATCTCTGATGACTGATACTAACCTGGCTCTATAATAGTAGTTGATTTAGTTGTTCGGATTTAGAGCGATTAATCTGCAACTGTTATTTACCTGATCTTTTCGGTCTGTACCCTTTCAGCGGTGCGAGTGGCGCCGGTCCGGTATCTAGCGGTGACGTTGACGCCCGCCCGGCCTTCGCGATGGACGCTAGGAGAGGGTCGTACTCCGCCGCCGAAGAACTCCCTCCTCTCTGCTCCAACACGTTCGAGTGAGACCGCGACCTCTTCCTCGTCAGAATCTCGTGCTTCGGCCGATCCATTCGCGAAGACGTGAAACTTTCTACCCGGTGTGCCGGGATGGGGTCGAGCCTCCCGTACGGGGATGGCGCGTTTCTCAGCGGCAGCGTAGGAAACGTGGCGGAATCCAGAGCGGTGTCCACGGACCCCCCGCTCAGGCGGGACGGGTTGTCTTCTTCCCTCTTCATGGCGGGAGGGGAGGGAAGACGGCTGTACTTCTGTAGTGGGATTTCCACATCCTCTGCGGGACTGTTGTCCTCCACAGTGGTCAGGAAGGAGTTCGTCTGGATCGGAGCAAGCTTGGTGGACAGCTTGGCTAGCCGGGAGCTACCCTCCCCGACGGCAATGCCAGGGGGTACACCCATGAAATCTCCGGCGATTTTCAGTTCCCTGCTGTCCTCTTCCTGCGGCATTGAGAAGGGTATATTGGCGTCAACGTCCGTTCTCATGAGCGGTACATACGCCACGTCGATGGACCGTCTGTTCAATGAGTTTCTCTTTGTCTTTCTAGCCTCGGAGATGACCAAGTCCGACCGAATCTGCGCGGCCAGTTCCTCCATCTCCAAACCTTGTCTGTCCGCTGCCTCCTCCATGGCCGCAGCCTGACCGGTGCCGCTGTTCAGGTCCCCTCCGGACAGTTCGTCCCTGTCCACTGTCGCATCACTCCTGGCTTCCTCACTGAGAACACTCTCGCCCCCGCTGGACATCTCAGGTGCGAACTGTAGCCTGTAGAAGGTGTCGCCTCCTGGAGTCAAATGCTCCCCTGAAGCATCGTCCTCCGCGGCGCCGTGGCCTCGCTTGCATTTCGGGCTTCTGCGAGAGAAGAAATTGGTCAGGAATCCGAACCGTTTTTTTCGCACGGGGCTGATGGTGTGCTGCATCTCGATGGTCTTGGCCGCGCTTTCCACATCCACCTCGACCTCCGACACCCTGTCGGCGGCTTCCAGCAGGTCCAGACACTCCTGGTGGCACCCCTGGATGGCGTAGTCCAGCGGAGTCCCTCCGTCCGCGTCTATCGGCGTCGGACAGACGTTGAGCTTCAGCAGGAGGGCCACGCACTTGGCCTGCCCTGACGCGGCTGCCCAGTGTAGGGGTGTCCTGAAATAAAATAAAATAAAATTAAATAAAATAAAATAAAATGAATACGGTAACCATAAACGTCAAATCAAATAATTGACTATCAACTTGTTTTAAAGAAAGATTATCTGAAGTTTTGATCATTCACAAGGATGAAATGTTGTATCAAATCGTATTTCTGGGGTGACTCTCTACCTGTCGTCGGGGTCCAAAGCCTCCAAGTTCGTGTACTTCAACGTTGCCAACTCCTTCAGCGTGCTGCAGTGACCGGCAGCTGCCGCTAGGTGAACGCACGTCTTGCCAGTGTTGTCGATGGTGTTGACTAAGTGAGCGCCCCCTGTCGCCCCGAGGATGACATTGCAGCACGCCGTGCTGCCGTTCTACATGGAGGAGCACAGGCACGTTTTCTCACTGACCCAGTCACCGGAATTATAGTTTATGGCGAGGTTGTGCATGCGCTTATAAAACAGACAAATTACTTCTAAAAAGACATATCGCAACACGGCGGAATCTATAAAAACACTCGTCATATTTTAGAAAATTAACTTTAAGAAATTGTGACTAACCTGAGCAGCCCAGTGCAGGGCCGTCTTGCCGTCGATGTCTATGGACGTGATGTCGGCCCCGCGCATGAGCAGGAGCTGCACCACGTCAGGACGGTTGTGGAAGGCTGCCCAGTGTAGCGTCGTCATGCCCTGTCGGAAACGACAATACCGCGTACATGTTAATCTCCAAGCAGATCTTAGGCTGGCAAAAGAAGTATCAAATTGGCCAGGCAGTACTAGTATTCATTCGCCAGAGGGTCCATACCCCACACAATGGATACTGCCTGTGCCTGGGCAATTTGATACTGTCTTTTGCCACCCGGCCCAAAGATCTGCTTGGAGATTACGTACATGTCACAAGGAATTCGAAGGATCGAAACCGCCAAATCGTGACAGGCGTGACTTTTCTGGCGGACCAACATTTTACAAATAAGCAAAGCGGACTACTCTTAGCTAACTACATTTAGCTGAAGATAGACTCGATATGTTCACAAATAGTGCTTGAAGTGATTCGAATCCTCCGTGCGATTTCCCCCCGTTTTGCGTTCCAGACTGTCAACAGTGTAGGTAAAGAAACAAACACGAGAGCCCTTTGTGCTCGAAAAGTTCACCTTGAGACCCCAGCTGTGCTAAAAATATACGATTATACCACCGTTATTTTTGTGAGATGCAAATAAAGAGCACCATTTGCTGTAATGGCAGTTTTGACAAAAACCTGTATGCACAACATAGCCATTATATTACCGTTTTACCTCCAAAGGTGTTAAAAGAAACTCAACATTTCCAGTGTTGATATACCTATGAAACAACAGCTTGGATAGTGCCAAATTTGACATCTGTATTTCAAAGCTTTAAATTATACCGTAATGGTTCTGAACCGCTCCTCTCCCCTTTTTAAACACACATTGCAATAATCTAAAGTTACATTCTTCACACTGAAATCGCCCATACTCAATTCACCAGTATCCTACTGTACATGCCAGCACCTCGGCAGAACGTACCGCATATGTGCGAAACATTTGAAAACTATAGACGGGATGTCATCCTTTACACGCGAATATGACCCTAAAATGAGAACCTCTGCCGAAGTGCTATGAACAATACATTACAGATTTCACGCAGGCACAGTACGTTCTGCCGACGGGCTCTACTGACTATCCATATCACACCACCACCGCGCCCTACTACGGTTAAGAATAGCACCACACACGCCGCCCACTCACCTCATTGTCAGGTTGGTTGACTTCCTCTTCAGACAGATTCTGCATGAGGATGGCCATTGACCTTTGAACGAGAAACAGCACAGTCTGTATCAGTACGCGAGTCATGCAATTTATGCAAGCGTCCTTGTGAATGCTTCCCAAATGCTAGCCGTGGCGACTCGAAAAGACATATGTATGTAACGTTATATACTGGCTTGGAAACCAGTATATATATATACGTAGGGCTTTCCGACGTCGCTACCCAATATGAGCCTTGTTTTGAGGTGAAAATTGAAGTAAATAAATAAAAAAAATTATATAGTACATGTACTGGATATGCCATATTCGGTTCGCTGATGGACCTACCGGCTCCAAAAGTGGACAAATTGACCAGAACAGAGTATAGACTCTGAGCTACCTCGTTTCGCTTTGATAGGTGGCGGCGTGGAGGGGGAGGCGGCCGCTCTTGTCACAGATGTCCTGCTTGGCGCCTTTTCTCAGTAATAGTACGATACCTTCGTACCAGCCCTGGAACAGAAGACAACAGAAAAATAAATACTATATTTGTATTTTCGTCTCAACCCCGAGCAAAACGTTATTACAGTCTTGCTCTGGTCATCAAGATGTACTGAATATCATTTAATATGCTTTCTCTGCCACTCTCGTGCTGCAGATAATTCATTGATTGTATGCCTTAAATCTTGATCTTCACCACCCCACCCCCTATTCCACATTGATTTCTTGTCCGTGAAGAATCTTTGCTATGAAAGTGTAAAAAAACAACAAAAAAACGATGCTATTATAAACTATCATAGCTACACGTTGATATACCGTACCATGTAAGCAGCTATGGCCAGTGGCGTGCGGCCTGCAGCGTCCTGGACGTTAATATCGCCACCCATCTTCTGCAGCAGTTTCACCGTGTCCAGCTGTCCTCCCGCTACAGCGTGGCACAGGAGGGTCATCCCTGCAGAAACATGGTAAATAATGTTCAGTAGCGGAACGGGACAATGAAAAGAAATGATTGAGGGCGATGAGGGTGATTTTGGCGGTGTCCTGGCGCCAGAAACAACGTAGTTTTTACACAGGGTAGACTTGTAGAAAGAAATGAATTCCTGATTTGAAAACAAACGTTTATTAAACATCTGGAAAGGCATCTAAAAGTGTTTTATACTTAACTGCACGAACAAAACGCGCATAACCTTGAATGGCAGGATATTCTATTTCTATCATGTATGAATGACAATCACGCACAATCAGAATTCAATGTATGATGAAACAGACGAAGAGCGTACCCCACGGCTCTGCGTTGCACGCCACAAAACTGACTAATTTGCATGACATTTGCGCTTCAGAACATTTGACTACATTCATTTGTGAAATCTACAGGCTTTACAAAGAAGAATTGTACATATGATGTCTTCTTTCTGTACCATTAGAAGACAACCAATGATGTAGACTGTGAAATATTGATTTGTTCAGAAATGGAAGACAAAATATTTGCCTTCAATCCAGTTTACTACATATATAATACCGCGATTCTTGTGTTAGGTAGTAAACATTAACGGCTTATACAAATTGCTATAATAATCTTCCACAAAGATATACACATGAGCATACCCACACAGGAAACAGATTTTTTTCTGTATTTTTTTCTTAATTTGGATGAGACATATGTCAAAATATGTATATGTTATTTTTGTGTCTTTCGGTTATCGTATCTTTTTAAAGACCTTTCTTCCTACGAATATGCCAGATTCTGCCCCAAAATAGCTCTTCAAACCGCACCGACAGAGTGGGCCCCGCTCAGAACTTGAAGAGTATTTCCGTCACCTGCGATTCACTATCAGATAGGAAATACTACAGAAGTATTTCAGTACTGTCTGAACAATGGCACGGAAGGAGGTGACAGGAATGAATCCTCCCGAGGTTTGGCGGGGTCGCTCACAAAACATCCAAATACGTCTCTTGGCATCCATGAATATCAAGCGTTTCCACCTGTTTCCGGCAGCGGAACACTGCTCAACACCATGTGCAGACAATGGCAGTCTTTCCGGTGTTTTTGGCAGCACAAAACGTAATTTTTTTTTTACATTTGTAAATTTTACTTTTAATGCAACATTTAATGACATGTCGACAAGACATGGTGACGGCACACTCAAAATTTAAACGAATTTTTAGGCCGTAACAAGACAACTGAATCGTGTGCGTCACATGTACAGATATCCCAAGAATGCTCTCAAATTACAATCATGCCAGGACCGTACGATAAATGCGACTAAGCCTTATTTTTCTGCACACAACGCATGGATTCCTCCACAGTGTCATTTGCACGGAGCCCTCCCAGTACCCGAGGTCTTGTATGATATAACTTGTTTTTAACGGTACCACTGGCTCTTATCCATTTGGTGTTTTTTTTAGAAAGTAGGTTTCTACATAGTAAAAAAGAGAATCTTGGATAGACGTTTTATTGCTCAGAATGCTCAATGTGATATATATGTACTGCATCATTGCCAAAATACAAGTGCAGGAAGGCATTGCACGTTTGAGTTTGCGTATTCATATCAATCATCAGTCTGTTCTTCCAGTAAACATTGAACACAATAAGAAGGTGATAGGACTTTTAAAGTGCACCGCAGGTGTGAAATGAATAGATGCCGGTTGAACTTTCGACCAGTATTTGACTTGTAAGGCCACCATTGCTACGGACCAATCGCAAAGTCAGTGAGGGCCAATTGTTAGTTTGTCAAAGTTGTAACAATACCACATGGTGTCGCTACCCAGTCCAATGACAGAGCCAGCAATGTTGGCTAAAGATTAAACACGTTGTTGTCTAAAGGTTAAACATATAACATTATGCAAAGCAAAGTATATGCGAAAGAGAAAATGTAGTTCATTCCATGTGGCATCGTTGGATAAGGTTAAGGGTTGGTAAACACGGTATCGTAAACACTTTTAAAAGGCAGCATACACACAACAGATGATACGAGCTTACCATCAGCATCTGGCTGCTCCAGAACTGCCGGATCCTCCTTGATAACGTTGGTGACAGTGACGATGTCCCCGGCAGCAGCGGCCTGGTGAGCTATGGGCACCTTCACGTCGCTGCAAATGTCGTCTGAAACAAAATGGCGGACGGACGGGTGAGAAATGGTGGCGACGGAACGCATGTTTTCACATCGACACTTCAAACGCGTTTATTTCGCATCAAAAGCTCAGCTGGAAGAAGATGCCAAGGATTTCTAAGTATAAATGTTGTTGAAAAATTCCGGTACTGATTTCAACGCATAGAAAGTGCAGCGTAGGCATATATCTTTAATATGGCTCTTCGTGCATAACTAAATGCCATAACGTAACTCTCCTGTCATGATGCGAAGTTTGTCCATACATTGCTTTTCACGAATTCTCATGAATCTTGTAAATTTGCCCCATGATTTGCATATACATGTAATTACGTCAATCATCATTTCAGCTACGTACATGCCAAATTAACGACAACCCGTCAATCCCTTCTTGATACGTAACCTTTGCAAAACAAAATTGGCCCCTGGCCTAAGAGCTATCTCCCATCCAAAAATCATGACCCTAGATATAGTGGTCAGAACACGACATACAAAAGTTCTGCTGCAGTACCACAGGAAGCCAACAGGTGGTCCATACTCGAACTTGTTTTGCCGACAATGACCTACATACCAAATATCATAAAGATCCATCCAGCTTCTTGAGTTATGCTGTCCACAAACACAGACAGACGCACAGACAAACGGCACCTCGGCGAAGTTAAAAATAGGATGTTGGTTTTATAATAGGATGTTCGTTAACCTTATAAAACCTGTATAACCGTTTGGTGTTTGGTTAAAAACTCTTCTTTCTAATGAGCTGATATCATTATCGTAGCACTTGATCATATATAGTACTTGTTTTGGACAAGCTGTTGCAACGTTAGACAAAATATACATACCAATTTAAAAATTTGTATGAGTCTGGAGGAGCTATACATATGAACCAGACACCCAAAACAGTGCGTTAATTTCCTGTTTCTTCTATTTATGGTATATCAGTTTCTTGTTTGGTCTATCCAACAACATGATAATACAGTACTCCCCGACGATACTATATGTACACTATCTCTCTATACCTATATCTATATTTTTATCCCTCTATTTCTCTCTCTCTCTCCCTCTCTCT